CTATGTATTACTGCGTCTTCCCCTGTCCATACGTTTTTTAATGAATGCATGTATGTATGTTTTTTTTATAAAATCATTATTAAAAATATATTACATTTTAACGGGAGTAATCTTAATGAAAGTTGTAGTAGACTCAAAAAATGAACACGTGGATAAAGATCCTTAAAATCTGATATCATATGAAGAAGTTACGATGTTCAAAATACAAGACCTAAGCCAAACCACAAGACTTACGCAACCAAGCAGTCGAGATCGCATTGGACATAAACATCAACAACCCCAAGCACCTCATCAATGATTGTCTCACGTAAGATGTCGTGAAAAAAACCTAAAGAAATCATTCATAAGTACTGAATGAGTACAAAAAAATGACTTATTTTGAAAAAAAAATGTTAAGGACTAAATATGTGCAAAAATATTAAGGACTAAATGTGTACAAAATGAAAAATATATTACCCAATCAAGTCATTTTTCCCGGCTAACCTGGAGTAACAGGTCATAATGACTGAATGTATACAGTTTAACAAGTTCAAGGGGTAAATGTGGACGGGAAAAAAACTCAGTGACCAAATGTGTACAAATCGAATAATATGTTACCCTTTTAAGTCATTATGACTTAAAAGGGTAATATATTTTTCGATTTGTACACATTTGGTCACTGGGTTTTTTTTTCGTCCACATTTACCCCTTCAACTTGTTAAACTGTATATATTCAGTCCTTATGACCGGCTACTTCAGGTTACCCTGTAAAAATGACTTAATATGGTAATATATTGCTCACTTTATACACATTTAGTCCTTAATATTTTTGTACATATTTAGTCCTTTTTTTTTTTTTGCAAAATAAGTCTTTTTTTTTTTGTACTCATTCAGTACTTATGATTGATTTTTTAGTTTTTTCTCACAAAATCTTACGTAGGACATTCATTAATGAGGTGTATGGGGTTTTTGATGCTTATATTCATCGCGATCTCGACTACTTGGTTGCTTAGGTCATGTGTTCTGAACGTCATAACTTCTTCATATGATCTCAGATTTTAACGATCTTTATATCCATGCGTTCGTATTTTAGTCTGTTACAACTTTCATTTAGATTACTCCCATTAAAAAATAATATATTTTTACTTACGATTTTTTATATCCATACGCGGTGGCGGATTTAGTATGGTCCCGGTGTTGCACCGACAACACCTGTTTTTTCTGTTTGCAGTGGAAAAATTTTCACTTTTTTTTTACGTTTATACCTATTTTCCATGTATCGGCAACACCTATTTCATCTCGGCAACACCTACTATGTATTACTGCGTCTTCCCCTGTCCATACGTTTTTTATGAATGCATGTATGTATGTTTTTTTATAAAATCGTTAGTAAAAATATATTACATTTTAACAGGAGTAATCTTAATGAAAGTTGTAGTAGACTCAAAAAATGAACACGTGGATAAAGATCCTTAAAATCTGATATCGTATGAAGAAGTTACGATGTTCAAAATACAAGACCTAAGCCAAACCACAAGACTTACGCAACCAAGCAGTCGAGATCGCATTGGACATAAGCATCAACAACCCCAAGCACCTCATCAATGATTGTCTCACGTAAGATGTCGTGAAAAAAAACCTAAAGAAATCATTCATAAGTACTGAATGAGTACAAAAAAAGACTTATTTTGAAACAAAAAAAATGTTAAGGACTAAATATGTACAAAAATATTAAGGACTAAATGTGTACAAAATGAAAAATATATTACCCTATCAAGTCATTTTTCCCGGCTAACCTGGAGTAACAGGTCATAAGGACTAAATGTGTATATTTTAACAAGTTTAAGGGGTAAATGTGGACGAAAAAAAAACTCAGTGACAAAATGTATATAAATCGAATAATATGATACCCTTTTAAGTCATTATCCCTTTGCAATAACATATATTACAAATTTTATTGTCATTTTATTAAAAGAAAATCAAAAACAAACATTTTTTTAGATTTACGAATAAACGTGAGGGCGGGCACACCCGAGAAGTGGGTCCACTCTCACTCCCGCCGGCCGTCATGTTTATCTCGACAAGTCATCACCTCCACGTGTCAGTTTCCAAATTCCTAACCTTTTTCTACTAAAGCCAATGATATTTTCGTTTTAGCCCTCCATTATGTAAGTAATGCCCATATGCACTCTTATTTTATCTATAAAGGACAATTCAGTCCTTCAGCCATTTTTAATTGGACTTTCAAGTTAACCGTGTTTATCCTAACAAATTTTCCAATTATCTTTATATCAAATATAATAATAGCGTTTTTATTTAATATATTTTTATGGATGCATGGACAACTAATGGTATAATTTTTTTTTAAAAAGTCCCTTATTAATAATTAATAAATATTAAATAGAAAATATTTATACTATTTACAAGGTTTTATTGTATTTCAAGAACTCGTTTAATAAATTAATTAAATAGATGTTCGCATAAGTATATTTATAAATTAATAAAATATTAGATTAATATAATAAGTAATTTATATAAATATATTCATGCAAAATAAAATTAATATAATAAATATATTATAAGTTATGTGTTATTATTAGGTTATAGGCCCACAATATATATATGTCGCTTTGCAAGTGCCCTTAGTTATGTGAAATGGCTAAACTCACTTGGAGAACCTTTGCCTCATCGATGTTGTTGGTCTCATAGGCAAAGTATACTTTTGCAAAAAAGCTCACACTGTTTCGTGACAACAAGCAATATCACCTTTTTATTTAAGTTTTTTAGTAATCATTTGAAAGTTGAGGTTATATGACCTTTTGTTATAAAGAGATTTTATAAACAATTGTTTTTTTTTTTTTTTTTTGAATAAAATGTCAAATAAAGTAAAAATTATACAACACTAACAAATCAAACATAAACCTTTATTTGATACTTTTGACATAGGGTATAACCAATAGTCTATAACTTTCAAAAGTTATCAATTTGGAGCAATTTTTGAACAAAAGAAAGGTAGAACATAAACATTTAAACTTTCTATGAAATTTTGATATAACTTGTAATTTCAATAAATGTATTAGCACCTCATTGTTCAAATATCTAAAATTAAAATAAAATTATAAATCATATTATCTCGACGGTTCACGTTAACTTGTAGCATAGCTCACGTAGGAGGTTAATCACAAGATCAATTGTTCATATATTTTAAAGTCTATACATCTATTTATTTCAACTAAATCCGGTGAAGCTGAGAACATATATAGATGATTAATATAGGGAAAATGATCCAAAATGACAACCAATAATAAAAAATTTCCCCACTAGGTCACTGAAATTTTAATTGCACCCAATTGATCGGCAAACTTTTTTTTGTTGTTTTATTATACCATTGTTATCGGTGATAGCCGGTTACCAACCCACATGGAGTCCACGTCACCGGTTATGTCCACGTAATCGATGGTATAATAAAACCGAAGAAAAAAAGTTTATTGGTCAATTAAATACAATTATAATATAGGTTTAGTGACTTAAAAAGCAAATAAAATGTTATTGGTTGTCATATTATAATATTTTCATAGAAAATATTAAACACTTTTAAACACTTTTATATATATATATATATATATATATATATATATATATATATATATATATATATATATATATATATATATATAATCTTCGATTTTGCCTCAACTTACTTGTGTTAAATATATTCATATTAGCCATATGACAGTTAAGATATTTTTCAACGAGATTTTTTTTTCTAACTTCATTGTTAAAACCCGTATAACTATTTTTAAGACTTAACAATTTAAGCATTATATTTTCAAAGATATTAATTTTTTTTATTACATTATTTTTTTCCCAAAAAATCCACTAAATATAAATTGTTAAGTCTTATAAATAGTTATATGGGTTTAACAATGAAGTTAGCAGTAAATGAAAAATTATCGTTGAAAAAGATCTTAATTGTCTTATGGCTGGTCTGAATATTTTTAAAACAAGTAAGTTGAGGCAAAATCTAAGATTTTTGATATATAAATGGTGTTTAAAAGTTTTTAAATATTTTTTCTATGAAGTGTCATAAATTGGCAACCAATAACATTTCATTTGTTTTTTCAAGTCACTAAACTTATATAATTGTATCTAATTGGCCAACAAACTTTTTTTTAATTGCTCGTATTAATTAATTGGTAGAATAAAGACTCATACAAATTAATAATGTGTCAGGAACCAAATTTGGACCGGTGACACAAGGATTTTCAGTCCTCAGTTCTACCAACATAGCTATCCCAACTATTCTTCATGTCTCCTATTCATTTTCATTTTACTAGAGAATTTGGTTCTATTATATCATCGATTACATGGATACAACCGATGACGTGAACTCCACGTGAGTTAATAACTGACTATCACCGATATCAATGATATAATATAACAAAAAAAAATTTGTTGATCAATTAGGTGCAATTAAAACTTCAGTGACCTTGTGGGTAGATTTTATGTTATTGATTGTCATTTTGGATCAATTTTCCCATATGTATGATATAGATATAGAAATATAGTTAATTTAATATCCTTGGTTGTTATCATGAAAACCATATGGATACATCTGGTATGTCTCTTAAACTATAAGGGGTTAAACTGTAAGCATGTAAACTAAATAAAATGTTCACCTTTCCAAGTCCAAAATTACTAAATCCACAAGAAGTTACAAGTTTTAATCCACAAAACACAAATCAGTAAAAGACTAACGTTCTGGTTCTAGTCTCTACAGCCTTGGCAACATTAATAGCCAAATCGAAAACGATTAAGCTATAGAACTTGTACGCGATGCAGTAGGAGTTGTACTTTTGAGGTGATAACCAGTTAGCGAAAGAGAGAGAGAAAAGGAGAGAGAGTCGGTTACAGTTAGAAGGTGAAAGGAATTGATGATGAAGAAACCGGGTCAAATGTTGACCCGAATAATGTTCCCGTTTTTTTATTCAAATTAGTCTTTAATTTAAAGGTTTTTTATTGATTTCAGCAAGTAAAGTCGGTCTCTCTACTTCCTTTCGTTCTTATCCTCTTCACCATACCACCATCTTCTTCCTCTTTGCGTTTAATCTACAAATCTTTTCCAATTCGAATTCGAATTCCCCCAATTCCCATGAAACCCCCATGTTTGGTTTCTTTTCATTATTCAAATATCCATTCACAGCTCTGTAATACCCACTTATAGCATCATCTTTCAAGAAATCAAAATCTCAATTGTTTTTCAGTCATTTCTGTTGACATATCTTGATTTTCTGTTATAATGTTGTCAAGATCATCGTTTAATCTGCTTAACCTTGACGATTATTCGTGCGCTGTTGATCGCGCTCGAATACCCAGAATCATGACGGTGCCCGGAATTCTGACGGAGTTTGAAGAAGATAACATTGCCGGCAACGGGGAAACGAGAACGGGAACGGGAACAGGAACGGAAACGGATCAGGTATCCGACGTCGTTTCATCTGTTACTCCTGAACGCCGGATTATCGTTGCAAATCAGTTACCGGTGAAAGCCCACCGCGACGGAGAAACGAACAAATGGGTGTTCGAATACGACCCGGACGCACTAGTGCTCCAACTGAAATCCGGGTTCGGACCTGACGTTGAGTGCGTTTACGTCGGATCCCTACCCGCCGATATCGACCCGTCGGAGCAAGAAGAAGTCGCTCAAACGTTGTTGGACAAGTTCCGGTGCGTTCCCACCTTCTTATCTCTAGAAATCCAGAACAAATTCTACCATGGATTCTGTAAACATTACCTATGGCCTCTGTTTCATTACATGTTACCTGTGACCCTAACCCATGGAGTCCGATTCGATCGGGCCGCATGGCAAGCTTATGTCTCTGCTAACAAAGTATTCGCAGACAAAGTAATGGAAGTAATCAACCCAGATGAAGATTACGTCTGGATACACGATTATCATCTCATGGTGATGCCCACTTTCTTGAGGAAAAGATTTCACAGAGTTCGGGTCGGGTTCTTCTTACACAGCCCCTTTCCCTCATCCGAAATCTACCGAACTTTACCTGTTCGTGACGAAATCCTTCGAGCTCTATTGAATTGCGATCTAATCGGATTCCACACATTCGATTACGCCAGACATTTCCTTTCATGTTGTAGCAGAATGTTCGGACTCGATTACAAGTCTAAAAGAGGCTACATCGGCCTCGAATACTACGGAAGAACAGTAAGTATCAAGATTTTACCAGTCGGAATCCATATGGGTCAGATAGAATCCGTCAAATCATCGATCAAAACAGCCAAAAAAGTCGAAGAATTAAAGAAAAAATACCAAGGGAAACAAGTAATTTTGGGTGTCGATGATATGGATATGTTCAAAGGAATCAGCTTGAAGTTTTTAGCCATGGGACAACTCTTGGAAGACTACCCTTCACTCAGAGGCTCCGTCGTCCTGGTTCAGATCGTGAATCCGGCTCGCAGCCGTGGCCATGACATTCAAGAAGTCGAATACGAAACCCGAAAGGTGGCTCACGAGGTTAACCAGAGGTTCAGTCAAGATGGATACGAACCCATCGTGTTTGTCAATGGTCCAGTTTCAACCCAAGATAAGGTCGCATACTACGCCATTTCCGAATGTGTTGTAGTGAATGCTGTTCGCGATGGTATGAATTTGGTTCCTTATAAGTACACAGTTTCAAGACAAAGTAGTCCCGAGTTAGATAAAGCATTAGGGATTGATGAAAACGAATCGAAAGAGAGAAAGAGTGTGATTATAGTGTCGGAGTTTATTGGGTGTTCGCCGTCGTTAAGCGGCGCGATTAGGGTTAACCCCTGGAACATCGATTCAGTGACGGAGGCAATGAGTTTAGCGCTCACGATGCCGGATAACGAGAAGAAACTCCGGCACGAGAAGCATTACAAGTACGTTAGTTCTCATAACGTTGGATATTGGGCGAAAAGTTTCGATCAAGATCTGGAGAGGGCGTGTAAGGAGCATTTTCACAAACGGTGTTGGGGGGTTGGGTTCGGATTAGGTTTTCGAGTGGTGGCGCTAGGGTTTAATTTCAGGAAACTTTCCGTCGAACACATCGTTTCTTCTTACAAAAAGACAAATTCCCGGTTGATTCTACTGGATTACGACGGAACAGTGATGCCGCAAGCATCTGTCGATAAAACTCCAAGCAAAGAAGTGATTTCGATTTTGAATGTTCTCTCCGGCGACCCAAAGAACGTGGTGTTCATCGTTAGTGGAAGAGGGAAAGATTCGTTGAGCAAATGGTTTGATTCGTGTAAGAATCTTGGGTTGTCGGCGGAGCATGGGTGGTTGACGAGGTGGAAGGGTGATTCTGAGTGGGAATGTTGTGGTGGTTTAGCGGTGGATGCTGATTGGAAGAAGGTGGCGTTGCCGGTGATGGAGCATTATACTCAGGCGACCGATGGGTCTTGTATCGAGCAAAAGGAGAGTGCTTTGGTTTGGCATCATCAAGAAGCTGACCCTGATTTTGGCACGTGGCAAGCTAAGGAGCTTCTTGATCATCTTGAAAGTGTACTTGCAAATGAACCTGTTGTTGTGAAACGTGGTCAGCAAATCGTGGAGGTGAATCCACAGGTAAATCTTTTGTTACTTTTGGAATCATTGTTAAGGGTATAAAATGTCAATTCGATTTTTTAAAGGGTAGAAACGATCAATTACAATACCGACATATCTTTTATGGATTCTCACCTTCTTACTAGCAGTTGAAACTGATTGACTGTCTTACTAGCAGTTGAAACTGATTGACTGTTTTTTTGCAGGGTGTGAGCAAAGGGGCGGTGGTGGAGAGTTTGATTACGAGTATGCAAAGTAAAGGAAAGCCGTTGGATTTCGTGTTATGCATCGGAGATGATCGGTCAGATGAGGAAATGTTTGAAAAAATCGCGAATTCGGTTTCGTTACAAGGGATTGCGGAAGTGTTTGCTTGTACAGTTGGACAAAAGCCGAGTATGGCAAAATACTATCTTGATGACACTGTAGATGTCATCAAGATGCTTCATGGACTCGAAGCTGCTTCGAGTCAAGTCCCAAAAGGTTTGGGACTTGGGGTCTCGTTTGAAACAAGTGTTTGAAAAGTTACGGGTGGTTTTCGGTTTATGTTTTTCTTTTTTAGTGTTTGAATCTTTTTTACTTTTGGTGGTTGTTCATGTAGACACACATAATCTCTTTGTACAGAGCGTATACAAATGGTTTTTACTTTTGTTTATGGAAGTTCTTTTGTTCGTCGCTTTGGGGTTCTTTATTTTAACCTTATATATAAAGTGAGATTTATGTGTTAACTTTGCTTGCTTTAATAATATCAAAATAACTTTTAGAAAGTAGTGATTGGCATTTGTGAATAAGAAGGTTTTTGAAAGAATAAAGCATTTGATATTAAATGGGATGCCAAATCTTTCATTTGTTTTTGTAAAAGATATATGACAGAAGCATTAAACAATTGCTATTGGGATCCATCTTAAATGAACATGTGGATTGGCATATATGTGGTCGAGGGTATGATTTAATTTGGTATTTAGGACTCGATAAATCTACTAGAGATAATGGATAATATGTTTAGGTGATTATATATTGTCACAAATACGATGAACGAAGATGTTATTAACTTGCTCATATTTGTTCCTTAGTTATCATAAGTAGTAACGAGCAAGGCTTGTTGAATTCTAAATTGTAGACTCTACATGATCATTGGCTAAATGTTCATCTTTTGAGTGGTTTGGAAGTTGGAACCTCAGGATTTTATTATGGTTGTATACTTGTATTGTCCTTATGGTTAAGGTATAGCCTGGAGTTCAACAAGGAGACCCTTTGGGACCACTTCTCTTTGCCATTGTGTTGCACCCGCTCTTGCATAATATTAGAGACAATTACAAGCTTTTTCTCCATGCATGGTACCTGGATGATGGCACACTTATTGGAGATTCTGAGGAGGTGGCCAAAGCCTTAGACATCATTAAGGCTATTGGCCCAAAATTGGGTCTTCAGTTGAATATCAAGAAAACCGAGCTCTTTTGGCCCTCGTGTGATGGAAGGAAGCTGCGTGAGGGGCTATTCCCCGGTTGGCATCGGGAGGCCGCTATTGGGGGTGAAACTTCTCGGGGGAGCTGTTAGCAGAGATGCTAGTTTCATTAGCAACTTAGCCATAAAGAGAGCTGAAGGCGCTGTGAATTTGATGCGCCTTCTTCCACAATTGTCTGACCCGCAGAGTGAGCTCCTTCTACTTCGGTCTTGTATGGGTATTGCTAAACTTTTCTTTGGGCTGAGGACGTGCCAACCTGTTTACATGGAGGAGGCGGCGTTGTTCTTCGATAATGGATTACGCGGGGCGATTGAGGACATTGTGGTTTGTGGTGGCCCCTTCTTTGGCGACTTACAGTGGCGACTTGCTTCCCAACCCATTCGGTTTGGTGGTTTGGGTTTATACTCGGCAGTAGAGGCTACCTCATATGTTTTTGTTGCCTCAAGGGCCCAATCTTGGGTATTGCAAGACCACATCTTACGGGATAGCGACATTTATGGTATGGATTTTGATTATGATTCTCTTCGTAACAAGCTTCCGGACATTGATCTTAGCAGTTTTACTACTAAGGACACCGCCCCCCTAAATCCCAGAATACACTGGCGAGTTCCCTTTTTAGTAAAATTATCCAAGATATGGAAGTGAATTTCAATATGACGGCTCGACAGAAAGCAGTTTTTCAGTGTTTACGTGCACCACATGCTCAAGATTTTCTTCTAGCTATCCCTATAGATAGGCTGGACCAACATATGTCTCCAGTGGAGTATCGTACCATGCTCAGATATCGACTCATGATTCCAATATTACCAGCCGATGGGATACGTCTGGTGTGCCGCAAGGCATGTTTGGACTCTTTTCGGCGAGCATGCAGTTCATTGCAAAGAACTCTCGGGGTTCAAATACAGGCAAGATATGGTTAGGGATGTTTTGGTCGACATATGTAAGCGGGGTCGGGGTTTCTGCCAAGAAAGAGGCTCCTGTGAATTTCTTGACTGACCCGACAGAAGAAAGGTCAACCCTTAGACCGACTGACGTTTTAATTTTTGGATGGGTTGGAGGGAAACACGCATGTGTGGACCTTACAGGGGTATCCCCTCTCTTAAGTTTGAGGGTCGGGGGTTTCACGGCGGGACAGACTGCCTTAAAAGCTGCTACATGCAAGGTCACCAAACATGAGAAACCGTGCATGGAAAATCAGCACGCGTTCATATCATTTGCATTTGATACGTTTGGTTTCTTTGCGCCGGATGCGGTGGAGCTTCTTAGGAGACTACAATGGATCATGCATAGCAATGTTATATCCCTTAGATATATGGATATAGTTTTCAAAAGAATTGATTTTACCATACAAAAGGGCTTAGCGGCGCAACTTGTTGCCCATTTGCCTTCACATTCGTTGTATGATGAGAACTAAAATATTATTAGGTATTTGTATTGGACTTTATAATAGCCCAATATCGTTGGTAACCAAACAACATAAATATCCAATAATATACATTAATCATGGGATAAATAATTGTACATAGTGGAAGTGAATTAAATACAATAGAGCTGCATATCTTTATAATGAATTCTTGTTAAAATCTTATCGATTTAAAATATATAATCTTTTGCAAAACAAATGATTAAACGACAAGGTTGATCTAATTACCTCAATACAACTCATTTTCGGTCACTACACTCGCGTTTCAACGTTTTTTTTTTTTGGCGTTTTGTTTAATGTTTTTTTTGGGCTTTTTGTAGTGAATAAGATAATAAATTTGTAGAATTCCGAGGGTGGAATACAAACAAACAAAAATTTACAACTTCAAACAATGATTTTTGAATTTGAAAAATTACTAACTTATTATTTCTTTTTGTGATTTCGACATCGTGTTTTTTTCTATTTCAATTAAGTCGTTATGATTTCTGTTTGTTTCATTTCTGACCAGTTGACCGGTTTGCTTTAGATCATGCGAATGCCACTGTTGACCATGGGGTGTTGGCGTCATGGGCGGAGCCACCTATGAGCCAAGTTAGACCCATTCCCACCCTCAAATTCTAAAAAAATATTTTTTTCTTTTATATATATATATATATACTAGCCGTTTACCCGCGCCAAGCGACGGGTTCAGATAGTTTTTTTTCAGAAATTAATTTCTACAATCAATTAGTTCTTTTGCGCAAACAATTTACTATATCTAAAAAATTATCAATTAAAGTCATGCAAGCAAAAACGAAATCAATAAGAATTAAAAATAAAAAGTTAGGATTCTTTACAATGTACATGTGTGCATTACTAAACGTGATGTTGAACACCGAGTCGATAACTATATATATATATATATATATATATATATATATATATATATATATATATATATATATATATAATAAAAAATCCATTTATGTGACCAATGGGCAACACTAGGTCTAAATTTATATGATAAAATAGTAAGGTGAATTTGTTCGCATCAATAAACCATTGTAAAAAGAAAATGCATGGTCACATAAATATGTTTCGTGTGAACAAATGGTAGAATTTATTAACCACATGGTAAAAGAGAAAGTTGTGCCCATAAGTAATTTTGATCATAATTTAATATTATAATGTGTGTTTAACATAACTATCTATGTACACCATGACTTACAATTGTAGGGACTTTCCACACATATTACTACAATAGGGATTTCTTCGAAAGCCATTTGATCCTAACCTCAAATACACATATCTTTGACCTTTTAAAGTGGGTTCATTCGTGCATCTTCTATTGTATTTTGGGCAATGAAACTTGGACGAATTAATTTTAAGTAGAAGGTAATTAAAACTTGATGTAAATTTTAAGTTGATGACAATTTTAAGTTGAAGGCAATGCGGCGGGCAGCGTTTTGTTTTATTTCGACGAATAGCTTAACATATATTTAAGAAATATACATACATTGTTGTTTTGTTAATAAATAAAAAAATGTAACACATATATTCATCGTTTGATGTAAAACATAAAGATTACATTTTTGCATGCTTTTTACATAAAAAAACATCTACAAAACTATTTTGATTACACTCATTTTTAATATACTGATTATATAAAATAATAATAATAATAATAATAATAATAATAATGTGAGAGTTTATATAGCTTACAATTGTTTTTTTCTTTTTTAGTATAAATGTTATTATATTCGATATTTGATCATGCAAAGAAAATCACTCGCATAATCTTTATTTTTAGTAAATTATCTAAAAATTAGAAGTTAACTTTCTCTATCACATACATTCCATATCATGATTTTTGTTTTTTATACCTATGAATTCTTTCCATATGTCATCACTTGTTTCTTATGGAAGATAGTAATGTCATTTATAGTTATATTGTATTTTGTTACTAATGATTTCTCTTAAAATTATTTCAGTTTATTAAACACATTCTGGACAATCTTTGCATCATAATAAAGTCAAGTTGCTCCTTCATTATATTCTTCGATCATAAATTATGTAATGGTGAAATTAAGCATAGTCCAGTAAAAAAGGTTAAGAAATTAACCCAAAAAAAGTGCAAGAGAACAAACCATAAAAAATTTATTAACAATCTAATATTACACTATTCAAAAATATCAAATTTAAACCGGGTTAAATTTTCAAATGCAATCAGACAGCTAACCACTCGTGACAAAAATGGTTTGGCAGTCCTCACTACTTCTACATGAAGATACGTCTATGTAATTATAGAATCATTGAAAATCATATATTTGAGTGCAGATTAGTTATTATAGAGAGAGTACCAAGATAAATCTACAAAATGGAAAAAGAGATCAATTCCTTACCGAGAGCTATAAACATCTTCGATTGTGCAGCTTCGTGCAGGGCAAAAGCCATTTGTTTTAACCAATAAACAGACGTTACATATATTGTCAACATGTTTTAAATAATAACTAACACATCTATAAGCATTCGGAATAAGATCCACCACATTTCTTTCCTGTGTATCCAAAAAAAGAGACCCATTCAGCACCAAAACTTAGAAACATGAACAATCCATAAACAAATTCATCAAACACTCTATGCTCAGCAAGATACCAAAGAAACACAGCCATAAACTGGAGAAGTGAAGCAAAAGATCACAAATAAAGGATCATATATATATATATATATATGTTGAAAATAATCTTAAAAACATATAATTAAAGAGAAACATGATTTTGATTTAAACCATTAAAAAGAATATTTTCAATTATAAAATTACATGAACATTATGGAAGAAAGGTGAAAGCTTGAAAGTGTTTTTATTAACAGATAAAGAAAACAACTTATCCATGGATTCTTAGTTATGATTTCTTACTCCAGTCAACAATATATATATATATATATATATATATATATATATATATATATATATATATAGAGAGAGAGAGAGAGAGAGAGGGAGAGGGAGAGGGAGATGTAACTTGCTTGTAGAGTTCCAGATTTTAAACAACCATTTTCAACTTCCAGAACCACCATCACTTCCATTAACAGACTCTACATTTGCTTTCTTTCCATATCCCTAGTCTCTAAAAAAAAACTTAAGATAAAAGCCCCCCAGTTAGAAAACCTTTTTTCAAGAAAAGTCTGAGATAAAAACCACCATCACTTCCATTGACAGACGCGTCAATATGTTTCATATTATGCACTTATTTATCGAACATAACACTGAAAAGAACCAAAATCATATGTTAATAGCCTATAAATATAAATTAGGAATCATTTATCTCTTAATTTTATTACCTATCTGGCCCTCCTAACCATAGTTCATATAGCCTTGTACACATATTGCTGCAATCAACAACAAATAACATAAGGATGAGTAATCTTTAAACATTTTAAGCAAATATCTCATACCATTTCAGTCTGTCACATAACCAAATAACAAACTTGTGCAAATGAATGCCAGATTTGTATACCACCAAATGATGCAAAAGGGCATTTCAATAATATTAATATAAATATGAGCTTTAAATTATGACTTTTCTATGGGTGCACCGAGGATAGATGATGATTGCACATTCCATCACGTTTACACAATGAATAAACTTATAAGTAAAATAACATTATCATTTATAATATATGAAAATAGTATAATCAAAATCTTATTTAAGTTGATTCTTACCACATCTCCTTCAGGATGGGAAGCACGACATACATCAAAAGTACTCATGGTTTCAACATTTGGGTATCAAGTGGCAGGTCGCCACAACGCCTCACAGACTACACCTGTAGTTTATATGTAAGAAAACTCCTACATCAAATGGATACGAATGTCTAAGTGGTGCCATATTTGATCCAAGGCTGCAAATAATTTTGCAATAAAAATAAGATTGCAAAAAGGGAAAAGTTTTGTCTTTTATCAAATGTGAAGGCGACTCCATGGAATACATATAAAAAAGGGGAACTTTATCAACACTGATCTCATTTGATGTCAACCCACTAAAATAAAGTTATGTTAATGCATAATCCATGGCTAGATGATGAACAACAAAATAAATAAATAAATAAATAAACATAGACCAGTTAATGAAATTTTCATAAACATGGATATAGATACTTACTTCGATGTTCAAATATTTTGTGGTCATTTCATTTCATGAAGCTGCATAGGGTTGGCGTATGAATAGGTCATAAGGAAGATACAGGGGAAGGAGGTGGTTACAATTACACAAGTGGCTTCTAGGGTATACGAAGAAGGCGACGATGTATATGATTTACAGTGATTCAGAAGGATGGTGGTGGTGTTGTTTAGGTGGTGCGTAGAAAGAGGGAAAAGTGAGTGGTAAGGCTAGGGTTTGTGACTGAAAGAGATGGAGCAGAGAGATTGAAAGGGGTTAATCAATGTGAAAGTATTTGGGAGGAGGTTTTCATTAAAACTCAACAAATAGTGGTTAGTTGGTGACGGTGGTGGGGTTTTTCTGTGATGGTGGATGAAGGCGATGAGGGAGGGGGTTCCGAGATAGTGGTTAGTTGGTGACGGTGGCATTATGCAATGTTGGTTCTAGATTTATCAGAAGTGCGATGAGTGGAGCAGTGGTGGTGAGTATTTGATTGAGCACATGACACTTAATGAATGAAGGGATGTCCGGTGACCTTCTACAGGTTGCAGCGGCAACGGAAGGAGAGTGAAGAGCGTGGTGGTACCGAAGGTCCACCGGAAACTGAAGCAAGTAAGAAGAGAGATAGAATAGATGTGGGTATGACGGAGTCTGATGTTGCGTCGAGGATGTTAGGGTTAAGATAGAGTAATTAACAAGATTGTACATAGTGTGTTCTAATAAATTTCAAGAAATAGGCAATATGTTTAATAATATATATATATATATATATATATATATATATATATATATTATATAAAGGAACACCTTAAAACAAATTACGACTTCATCTTTCACACGATGACTTGATACTATTTAATTATGTGATACTAACGTGACCATGTCAGAAGCGAAAAAAGTGGTGCAAAAGACACAATATTTTCATTTTTTTGTGTGATTTTAACACTAAATTTTCAATCTTTTCCAATTTTGACACTCTATTAAAAAATTATGCAATTTACCCTATAATAAAATGTTTAAACCTTAAATATTCCCCAATACATTGAATATTCAAATGTTGATGTATGTACACACTTCTGCCCAATATAACGAAAATTCAATATAGATGTATTAGTCTTCTGTTATGATTCTTGACACTTTTATTGTTCTTCTCAATACTCACATATAAGGTTTAAATGAAAATTTGATTCGATTTTTGTAGTCAAAAATTTTGAATTTCTTTTCATCATATAACATTAAAATGATGAAAAAACAATCATTCACCTCAACGATCTTATTGTATATTATGATTTCATATATAAAAACCAGTTTATTGACTCCATATACACCAGTGCTCTTTATGTTATTTCAGGATTTCATATGGATATTGTTAGTTGAATTTCTTAAGAAACAATTAAGTGGGTTTACGAGGTTACTCAAAAATGATCCATAATTTGTTATGTAGAGAACTTATTAATTATATTATGTTATCTTTATCATTGGATGCATAATAACGACATTATAATTTTATGTTGATATTCATTATTTCTCTTACTTTTTTTTACCTGATAATTTTTTCATCAATTGCTACTACATCAATTTTATAAGTTATGATGTCTATTTCTTTTGCTTTCTGTATGTGGTCCAAGTTTTTGTTCCACTTCAAAATGGTTTAATTGCAAGAAATAACTATGTAATTTACCAAAAGTTCTTGGTTGTGGAAACATACTTTCAAATTCTATGTAACACTAATGAGGCTCAATGAAAACCAGCTTATGATTTTAATCGAGCGTGTCACAAGAACCATCGTTTCTTTTTGTTTGTCTTTGCATATATTTATTTCATTTATGTTGCAAATTAGAGAAGACTGAAAACTTAATGTCAACATTGGAAAAGATTGAAAACTTAATGTCAAAATAACAAAAGTGAAAACAAAATGACTTAATTATAAAAGAAAAACGATCAATTAGTCAGAACTGCAACAAATTAAAAACATAGTGGGTTAATTGGAAAAAACACAGTGTCAAAATCGCAAAAAAAAAGTTAGTGACTTTTGTGCAATTTACTCTAACTTAAATGAATAAATACATAAGTAACTCTTAAAGCATAATTGAAATTACATTGCAATAAAAAAAACTTCTTAATGCATAAATTGAAAGCTCTCTCTAATTGAATTTCGAACACACGGACCTTTATTCCGATTTGTAACACTCGTATTTTCAGGTATAATTCTTTAAAGATTAAAATTTTAATTTTTGCATGTTGATGCCCTACGTTGAGCGTAAGATAGTCCCATATGCTAAGCGTAGGATGGATATCTTATGTGGGGGATTAATGACCTATGTTGAGCGTAGGTTAAGCTACGTCGAGAGTAGGTGCGCTGCACCAAAACCCTAATCCTTGGGGTGGTGAGCGATATTTAAAGGCTCTAACTGCTTGGGATCCTCCCCATGCTCAGCCTCCACCCTCCTAAGCAACCACTTCGAAACCTTAGCCACCTTGTGTGAGTTATAAGCTCTTTGAGTGTTTTTGTGTGCATTTGAAGGAAGAATTGCTTTGAGGAACCACTTAGGAGCTCCAAGATTTGTAGATCTGGAATTTTCATTCCATCACCAACTCTCAGAAGGTATAAAATTTCTATCTTGGTGTTTATTCATATTAGATCTAGTTTGGTCTTCAGTTTTTGTGATTTTCTCCCCATAACCTTGGTCTTTGTAAGTATGAGCTACTCCAAACCATGTGAGTGCTATTTTCAAATATTTGTGGGATTGTTGAGTCATAAAAATGAGAGCTTGGTCAGCTTTGTGCTCTTTTTGTCCATGAAAAGGGATAAAATCAGAAACTTTATCCATTAAGATATCCATTAGATTCAGATCTGAGAGTGTGGGTGGTTGGCCTAAGTATTAAGAGCTTAATATAAAGTTGGGACATTAATGGAGCTACGTTGAGCGTAGCTTTCTCTACGCTTAGCGTATCATGAAATTCTCCTATTTTTTATCTGAAGCTCTAGACCAAGCGTAGAGAAGTGTGCTACGCTATGTGCTACAGTGAGCGTAGCGTTGGACAGTTGACTTTTTGACTAGTTTGACTTTTGGTCAACTAGGTTCAGTTTTAGTCTAGGAAGGACAAAATGTTATTTTGTCACATGGAGGAGTTTCGGTATCATCAGCTCGGGTGTGTGATTATCTTGTCTGCATATTGAGGTGAGACTATGGTTGGATTAGGGTTTTATTGTCTGCAGATTACGGTTTTTATTATACTATGTAGGTTGCCAGACCGTCTTTGTGACTCTTACATGAAAGAATATGGTTGTATCACAACACTTGTATGTAAGAATATGGTTGGATCATAACATGTGTTTGTCTTTGTGACTTGCATTGAAGACCATGGTTGGATCATGGCAAAAAGCCTATTGTTGGGCTGTAGTTTGGAAGTGACTGTAAGACTATGGTTGGATCATAGCATTCACATGGGTTGAAATACACCTTAGGGTTGGGCCCAATGATATGTATTGTATGTGGTATTTTTAGGAACTCGCTAAGCTTTGTGCTTACGGTTTTGTGGTTTAAATATTTTCAGGTATTTCCATTTCCAAAGGGAAGGGTCTGGCTTGACTACACATCCCCTGATGACTTTTCCACACTGTTTATTATCATTTTAATATGATGTTTGAGATACATTTTACCATGATTGATTTTGGAACAAATGTTGTATGGATTTGATGGTTTGAAAATGAAATTTTTTATTAGTATTTTTGGGATGTTACAAGTTGATACCAGAGCTTTGGTTTGAGGGATTTGAGCACACTCTCGGGTGTGTCTGAACTCAAACTGAGAAATTGATAATCTTTTTGAAAGAAAATAATTTTTCTAAAAAGATTTTTATAAAGAAAGGGGCACGATGCGTGCAATCAGTCTAGCTCAAGTAAGCGATTCCCAAAATGCTCAT